CCTTGAAATTTACTCTCAGGCGGAGGTCGTGGGAGATACAAGAAGGATACCACAGTCCGACTTGAATGCGAGATGATCAGTTCGTTCATTTCCTGTATAAACTGATTTGGAGCCGAATGAAAATCCTGCATCAGCTCACTGCTCACCTCCGTCGGTTGTGGCAACATATGCATGAGGTGGTCCCAAGTGACGATTTTGATCTTGGCGTAAATACGCAGCTGCTGTAAATAAGCGTCCAGTTTCTGTTCTTTCTGGAGTGTGTTGTCTGTCTGGGCATTAAGGCACAAGAACACACGAAGTTGAGTTTTGGCTTTCCATGGCGGAACCATCCTCAAAATGCAGGCGAACTGCAGCATGAACAGACATGTGTTGTCAAAGAAACTCGCAGTTTCTGGTTGAAACAAATTAACAGGCCATACGTCTATATAAGACGTCGCTCTAGTGTCTGCAACCACAGTCTTGTTTAACAAGTGGAAATGTCGACAAAGAATCACGTTTTTCTGTAGTTTTAGAGAATCTTCAATCATCTGTACATACTCCCCCGGTTGTAGACTCTTGTTTTCATGTTCTCCTCGTAGACTGGAAAAAAGACCTTCCATATTTGAGGAAACACCGTTTTCAACTCCGCCTAAAATGCGCTTCTTTTTCTGCGTAAGCCTCCTGGCTAGAGAATCTATAGGCTTCGAGGAATCGTAAAATCCCAGACACACTGTGTTTGGTTTCATGCCTCCTAGTCCCGCTATTCTCACCAAATGTCCCATTCCCTCGACAACAGATGTTGCCATGGTAATCTCTACAAAAGCTTTGATCTTCATGCCATCTACCAAAGTCATCCAGCGTGTCTGCTCCTCGCCCAATGGGTCCGTGTCATGATCTTCCCAGCGCCCAACCTTCAATATGAAATAGATAATGATTAGGACTCGAAAAATCATCATTTTGGTACATTAAAAATATAAACGTAGCTTTTTTTGGTATACGATTTATATATACTTGCCCACTTTTTGAAAATTCAATGGGGAAGATGACGCTCGCTCAAAATAAAAACATAAATGAAATGTGTGTTTACTCCTAGGGATAAAAGAACACTTTCAAATGGCATTGTATGAACTATATTCATATGAAATCATGGGGTCTTAGAACATCGGAATAGTTACAGATTTACTGATTGAAAATGCTTAACTGTGGGGTTCAAATTTGGGAGTCTCCCTCAAAAATAAGGAGATTTGGCAAGTATGTACAAACAGTAGAGCTGTCACAATATATTGGAACACTGGTTTATCGCAATACACAGGCATATCGTATAGTATCGCAATATACTAATGAAATATTGCTGTATTGCAATATTTTTCAAAAGCTTAATTTGCATGCCTTATGCTAGGTGTTTTTGCCTTTACAAAATACAACATATTCTCACAGATTTTAATTTGCCCATATCCATACACAGGCTATCTAGTAGTGGGAATCTGTTTAAATTTTATAAATGATGGTTGTGTAACAAACAAGAGGCCCATGGGCCTTAACGGTCACCTGATATATTTATACAGAGAGTTGATTTTGTTTTTAACATGAACAGAAATATTACTTAAAGTGACAAAAAACAATAAAACCACCTTATTCAATATCTAGCATACAGATTTAAGACTAAAAAGTATTTGAAACTAGCACCTCTGATTCTAAACAAGGAAAATGAAGAAATTTTAGCACACTGACTCCTTTGGGCCCCACCCTACAGCCCTTGGGGGAAGGGCTGGCTAAAATTTTCAAAGTATCAAACTGTCAACTCAAGGGTATAATTCCAATCAAGTTATTAACATGTAATATTCAAAGTTTCATTTGCCATTATAAACCATAATAAACTATAGTAAAGTTAACCCCCTCCCCAGGGGTAAACATGATACCCCAGGGTCATGAAATTCACAATTTTGGTAAAGCACCTTAAGACCCTTCCATGTTTGAAGAGTATTTGATTCTACCATATCTAGGTCTGGAGAAGAAGATTTTTGAAATTTTAGTCAATTCAACCCTTTTTGGCCCCGCCCATCAGGCCCCTGGGGTCTTTAGACGAAACCGGCAACTATTTTTGTTGACTCTTGTCCATGGAAGGTTCCTGCAAAATTTCATTGAAATTGGTTCAGGGTTTTTTGAGAAGAAGTCGAAAATGTAAATTGTTTACGGACGCAAGACGGACGCCGGACGCCGCCAGACAAAAGGCGATCGCAATAGGTCACTTGAGACTTTGTCTCAGGTGACCTAAAAATCTTAATCCTTTGTGATCCATATGATAAAAGATTCAGTCTGATATCATACTGACAAGGATAATATATCAGGATGCTGATTGCAACACATTCCTTTTGCAGTGCAATACATATTGTGATGTACTCCAGGCGTATTGTGACACCCCTACCAAATAAACAAAATATAATCAAAAACCATGTTCTGAGTGTAAAACTTCAGGCTATAGACAGAGATTCCAACTCTGGACCTCATATTAAAATACTATTGTTCTAACCCTTTCAGATACCTGGTAAACAGAAGTGTCCTAGCCCAATTTTGCTACTGTTACATCGAAACGGAAGCTAAGGGGAGGTAACTGTAGCAAAAGCCACAGTCCAGTGGGACAGGGATCCTGAATATAATAACAGCGTCAATTTAGTATATGTACAATATCTTTATTCACAAAGGAAAAACACCTTTTATTCTTTACAACGGTCAATGCATTGTTTACAAACCTTCACGTGACCGAGGACATAAAGTCCTCCCTTCTTGATGTCATTGATGAAGTCGTTGAGTTCACAGGATTGTCGAGGCTGTGCCACCATGAGGATGATCTGTGGACGCCAGTACTTCACATGACCCTTCCTAGGGTCTAACATTAAAAGGTACTTCCTGACCTGTAGCGAAGCATTACAAAGTGTCAAGTAGGGGACATTACTTATACAGGAATATACTCCATGTTTCGTGATGTAATGGGCCTTTCGAATCTGACACCAACTGCCTCAGCAAAATTCACCTAACAATATTGGATATAGAAGGTTGTAAAGCAAGCGCTTGTTGGTTATCATGTTTAACAAACTCAAGTTGGTTAAATTTCAAATGGTATAAAGTCACAAGGTTTACAACGTGTCTTTCCACAATTCGAAAACTAACTAATGTATGTAGGAGTCGGGTAAAAATGAAAACCAGCCATCACAAGTTTGGGGACCTTTTTCACCCATGAACTTCATATTATATCTAGAAATCCCATTTGTCTTGGAAATACTTGATTCCTTTTTCTCATCGAAAAAACAATTGCCATAAATTCTGACATCACAATGGCCAATAAAATCACGTCACCGGTGTGACCCACAAAAAATATTTATAAAACCTAGCAGATTTATCCAATGAGTCGGAAGTACGAGCCTGTAGCAATTGAGTGAGAAATATATTTCTGCATTCTAGGTTTCTGGAACATTTTAAAACATTAAACAATTCTATTTGTATTTAACCCTTTCACCACTGTAGACCATAATGGACTCATACAGATCAATGCATGGTAGAGTCTTTTAAAGTTGCATAGGGGTGAAAGGGTTAATCATAATTATTTTCCCCATTCTGAAGACACCCAATAGAGCTTGGGAGTGTAAGCTTGTAAAAATAGAGGGCCTGGCTGATGAATCCCCCTTTAAGGTCAAAGTGCCGAAGGCATCACCTGTTGGAATATATGGAGGCCTAGCTTTGGGACACAACTGCAAGAGTAGCAAAAGTAGGGAGTGGAAATGGAGTGTAACCTTGTGGAAAATAAGAGCCTGGCTGATAGAGACCCACTGAGTGGTTAGGGAGCGGAAGTGGAGTGTAACCTTGTGGAATATAAGAGCCTGGCTGATAGAGACCCACTGAGTGGTTAGGGAGTGGAAGTGGAGTGTTACCTGGTGGAATATAAGAGCCTGGCAGATAA